TTTACAATCCCATGTGTTCATTTCTATGTTTAGAATTTGACCTCGTGTAATTAGTATGAACGATGTCGGGTAGGTTTGACGAAACGATCGTTAGAAGAAGAAAGAAAAGAGGTGTACCTCTTTGCTTCCTAAGCGAGGAATTTCCGTATTTCTGGATCGATCTAGACTATTCGTCGTGAAACAGCTTGTTAACAATTCGATTATCTATCATTACATATTCGCTCGAATGTCCTTCTTTACGTTTTTACCTATAGAGTTTACATTGGGCTTTTGCTATTGAATCGATCCTGAAGAAGTCAATCATTGGATAAACCATAAAAAAATATCTTTCCAAACCGCGTGCATCGTCAGATCTTCTTGTACTGCTGTCACAAGTACATGACTGATCGATCGATGTATATTTTTGTCCCAATTTTTCGAAACTGCAATTTTTCCCCCCAAAAAACATGTTCCTGAGGTCGAACGGTGGACCTCCGCCGCACGTGGACGATTAAAATTGACCGATTATCCAATCGAGCGTCATCGAACAATATGAAAGTAAATTTCTGACCATCCATCGGTGACCATCAATCATCTATTCTTTTTTACCCTACATTTATACATTCGATGCTATTTAAAGTCAGCGAATATCCATAAAAGTAATACAAAAGCTCGTAAAAAGAAGTTACAGAAAAGTTCATAACTCTTCAAAACTTGCATTTAGCTAAGGACAGAATTCTTAATTTTATACAAACAAAAATCAATCCTTAACGAAGAATTTAATTACAAACGAAAGTTTTGTCAGAAGTATTACTTTTCAGGATGTTCACACGGCACGTCGGACGCAAACGTCGCGACGCGTTACGTCGCGTGCAATCCTCGGCTCGCTACACGGTTGGACGGTCTGTACGAGGGGTGAAGCCGTGGCAAGCCCCATAATAGCCCTCGAGCGGGTCCCACCCTCCCCGGTAAGCAGAAAAGCTTCGAAAGTGTGCACAACCGCAGAGTCGCCGCCCCTTGCATGGCGGGCCGAAATTTGATTATGCCCCTTCCACGTGGATGAACCCAACGGGATTCATCGCTTGGTACCCGTCAATGATTTATGCCGCATCTCTTTCCTCTTTTTTTTTTTTTCATTTCCTTTTGTCTATACCGCAACGACAAGTTGTCTTTGTCGTCGTTCGCCAATGGAAACGCATACGCGTAATAAGTATCTGAAAAAGTAATTCGCACTTAGATCGTCGAGTCTTAAAGAATCCCATTTGAAATCGATTATAAAAGATAGAAATAATTCGCAGAATATTTAAGTTTTAATTATTACTACTAGTATTTGGACAGAGAGAAAGTAGATAGAGAGGTTAGGTATTCAAATCACAAGTACTGTAATTGCATACGTTGCAAACATTGCAGTCATGTCAATTGTCATTGTACACGTTACGACTGAAAGTTTTGTAATCACAAACATAACAATTACACGCATTGAAATTGGAAGCGTTGCAATCACATGCATTGCAATTGTTTGTACTGAAATTCCAAGTGTTGCGGTCACGAACATTGAAACCACACGCGTTGCAACTACAAGTGTTGCCATTAGACGCATTGCAATTACAACTGTGTAAGTTGCAAATGCATGTATTATAGTTGCATACATTGTAATATCATGAACTGTAATTATATCCAATTATATCCTTAATCGAATTATAAATTGCAAATTACAATTAACCTATTCATTTCTTTCTTGTTGTAAAGTCAAGCAACGAATATCCGCAAAGTTTCCAAAGCCAACCGATTCCAGAAGTATCTATCGATCCTCTTTGATCGTGGTCGCGGTTTATCTCGTCAGCCATTAATCAAAAGGGCCACGAACTTCCACGCGAGTGAATCCTTCGTTGAAGAGAGGACACGGGATAGATAGATCCTATAAAAGATCATTCTGCCAGATGGCCCGTGCCCGCAACAGAAACTCCGTCACCCTGTCTCTCCTTTTCATTCTTTTCCTTTTCCTCGACATTTCCCTTCCTACGTTCACGAAATAAACCACGGTGCTACGTCTTTCGTGGTTTCTGTCTTATAAGCGTGAGTGCGTGCACGCGCGGTCGGAGATTTTACAATACGTTTCTTCGACTATAACTTAAATTATGACTATGATAAGTGGATTTCTATCAGACGTGACGAAGTGAACGATATTGTATGAACATTTAACTTCCCCATAATCCTTGGGGATAATAGATACCATAATAGATATACTTACACTTTCAACATTCACCTAAAATCATTTTTGTTCATTATTATATTTTATTCTCATCATTTTGTATGTTAAATGTGCATAAAAAGATACTTCCTGTTAGTTTCGATGATCTTTAGATATGTTGTAAAACTAAATATTTTGAGTAACTTTTTGTTATGCATATAATCACCGTTGTGGTTTATAGTTAACCTAATATAACCTAAACAAATAATTTAAACTCAAAATTATTCAAAATCTCCAGCATTGTTTGCATTCTAAGAAGGAAACCACAAAATGTAACAGTATGCAACAATCATCGTACCGTTCACCGATTATGAGAGAAAACGCATTGTGGTTGTTAAAGGCGACACGAAGAAGAACGACGACGCAGCTGTGCCGCGGTGTCGGCACTTTGAAGTGATATAAACGGCATCCACTGGACAATCGGGATACAGTATTCTGACTGCGAATACCGATCACTACGAGACCACTGTGAATTAGCATGTTTGATGGCCAAGTAACCCTTCATCGACGAATATTCGACAGAGCATGGCGTGCAAATTTAACGACGGGGTGCCCCTTTTCAACGTTCCTTCGTTGAGATCACTACCGTAGTGCTTGGGCACCTTTGCAAAAATAGAACCTGCGTAAAAATTTTACAAATATGCAGCAAATCGATTACCATGCTGACACTATCGAAAATGTACCATGAAAAAAGCGGAAAATTTAAAGGAGCGTAAATCAATTATGTATTTAGGTATAGTATATATTTAGATGAAAGTTATTCAAGAATGAAGGTGGATATTACTTTAACCTTGGTATGGTACAGAATTTGATTTGATTAAATATGAAAATTTAAATTTAAATTATATTAGAAAATTTTAATTGCAACTGTTCTTGAAAATTTAAATATTTGAATTTGAAAATTTGAATTAGTTCAAGATTCAAATTCAAAATTTTTATTGTTTAATTTAAATATTTAAATTGTTTAATTGCTCTAAATTAATTTCAAGTATTTCATCGAGATTAATTCAGCCGATACAGAACTTCTACAGTGTTTAAATTTAACTTTATTTACAGATATCATTACAATAAGTGAAATAAAAAATTTTGCATTTATTTTACATTAATTCTCTAGTATTCTACAATTTTTGTAAGAAAAATTAAATGATAGCCAGTAAGCATTCCGGACCCAAAGAATCTTTCTGATATTTCGATGTATTTTGGACAGGAACAGATTAAAACGTAAGTATTTCGTGCCTCTTTCCTGTATGAGATTCTTCAATCGTTCACGGAAAATCACGCGATTTGTCACGCAACAGCCTTCCGCCGTAGAGGATTGACCGTTTAGCTACCGCAAAAGCCATAACGAATTTATAGAGTACTTTTATGTATCTCAATGATACCTGGCTGCTTGACGTTTCACACTATGTCACTGACAGAGCGTTACTAAATACGTAGTCATATATCTCTACCTTTAATAGAAATTAAAATACGTTAGTGACCTTCCTTCCAAGATTACAAATATAATTTTTAAATATTATAAAATTCAAAATTACTAATTTCAAACTTCTTTCATTTTCTATAGGTCTCAATTGACATACAGGATAACTTTTAGAAATATATTATTGTTAATAACCACGGAATAACAAACGAAGGTTTAGTAATTCAAACGCAATTCGGACTACAACCAAAAAATTTCTCTCACTATGATCTATATACGAATGTATATAGTCTGCAGTATAACTTCTTTAGCACGGAGATGCAAGCTACGTTACTAGGTATTGACCAATAGAAAGTACTTGACTCAAAAAAAGTCAAAAGTTAACAATAGAGCGACATGAGCCACGCCCAAATACCGATGATCGAGCAGGACAAAACGATCCGATTTTGCTTTGAATCTGGAGAAAACAGCGGCAACTCATGGACAGGAATAGCAAGGTGTTAGTTGGGGTACAAGCAGCTCGCTTTTTCCATAAGTAAATTTGACGTTAGCCAAATAAACACATTGAAGTCGGCTACGTTTGAAGTGGTTCCCGTTGACAGGATGACCGTGAACATCAACGCGATTGTTCCGCCATAGGTAGTCGGCCCTTTTCAAGGTCGGCTCGTTTGCCCTCATTTCCTTCTCTCTTCCTTCCACATAATTCCATCCTTGCCAATGACTGCTGAATGTTCCTTTTGAAAAAATCATTCTACACGTGTTCCACTAGCCTCAAGCGCAAAGAACTTGATTCAAAGAAGCCCGCTTATTATTATTTTCATTCTTTGGTCAATCTCTTTTTTTTTTGTTCAAGAGACGTGCACATTGTGGTTGATAACGATGTTCGTCATTTATACTTATTACTGAAATTTGTAATTTTGCTTCATCTGTTTTACATTGACAAGACGAATATACACTCCATGAAACCTTTTTCTTGTAATGATGGCAACTGACATTCAAGACAATCAAATCAACTCTTCTTTTCGAGACGTATATGTATTATACATTCTTTTATGACAAAAATGCTTGCCATATTATACCTATGTTTACAGACACTGAAATAAAACCGAATTAATTATTTGAAAAAAAAAGAATAGACAAAAATTGTTATTTAAGAATTTAATAATTCTTTGTAAACATACATAATTTTTCTCTGTCTCATCATTGTCTACAAATAGCAATAAAATTAAATAACTTTGTACACGTTATATAAAGGTTTCCACATATAGGAACCTCACCGATCGATAATATCGTCATAAGCGTGAAAATACAATGAACATGATGATATTCGATTTCTAACACAGCCGGGAACCGAAATTGAATTACATTCGCGTAATCATTATCTTAATGAATTAATTACAACCTATGATTCACCGTGTGTTTTTAAATGTATTTTTAATGTAGTTCTGTTAATAAAAGCTTTGGAACATACGGGACAAGAGTGTGCACGGGACAAGTGGTACTTTAAATGTTCGTTGAGTTGAGTGCTCGTTTTAAATAACTTTTTACAGATATTGCACTTGCGTTCCTCCTCGCTATCTTCTTCTAAATGAGTCCTAGTATGTTTATCAACTTCGCCCACATTATCAAATTCCATAGAACACACTCTACAACTGAATTTTACAGCTCGAAGAATACCTATTTGACTACCAGTTAATGGATTAGGTACTGGAAATATATTATTGGTACTATCACTAATACTGCACCTCAAGCCTTCTTTCTTTTTATGCGAACTTATGTGATTCCTGTAAAAATATTCTTTAATTAAAATCTATAAAGTAGAAATATTTTATTAGGGCACATCTAATCATAAATACTACCTATAGGCTTGTTCATTTCTAAATGTAATATTACAACTGACACAACGGTAATCTTGTTGAGGTATTTGCTGTGTCAAAGATGGTGCAGTCACTTGTAGAATAGTGCTTTGCAATTTTATAGTAGGATGGACAATTAAATAATGCTGTCTCACGTCTTCCTTAAGTTCAAATGTTTCTGTACACTGGTGACACTTATATGGATATAATGGATCTGTACTAACATGTAATCTTATATGCTTATCATAAGTCACTTGTGAACTACATTCAGTTTGGCACACATCACATACAAAATGAGTTTTAGTATGAAGGTACAAGGATTGTGAAGATGAGAAACTCTTATGACATATAGTACAAGTATTCTTCTCTTCTTGGCTATCACTTTTTTTCATTACATAATATTTATCACAGTGTTCACATTGAAATGCTGGCTTTGAATCATATATTGACTTCTTTAACTTACATCCACCTTTTGCACAAATAGCCTTTCTATTAACCTTTTCTAAAGACTGATTTCCTTGAATTATATTATTCATATTTTCATTAAATTGTTGGCTTCCTTTTATTAATTGTGCCAGTACTCTAAGTTTTTTTGATTTTGGACATGGTTTTCCATATATTTTATCTATTTGTATTGTTAAACGATATAGTTTTTTTCCTATTACTGCTTCTTGATATAATTCAGGTTTCATATGAGCAGATCCATTTAATGAAACTTCATGATCAGACGGTATATCCATTTTATTTTCTCCATTCATTTTATCATCCTATAACAACAGATTTCATTAATAAGCTATTAATTAAGACAAATAAAATTCAAGAAAATAATAAAATTGTTTACATTTTCTACCAATTGCATATAAGGACTTTGTGGTGGAGTCACTAAACTATGTGAATCACTATCCACTTTTTTCTGCTTCACCAGTGGAGCCTTAGGTGAATCAACTTCGAGTTCGCTTTCAGCCTTACGTTTTCTTTGACCATCTGTAATTTGACCTTCTAAAAAATATTTTTAACAATATTTATCATATATTTACAAAAAAATAAAAAAATTTTAATATAATTACACCTACCATCTACTTTGTCAAAAATAGTTGGAATAGCATTAGGAATTAACTCTTTTGAATCATTAAAACTTGTTTTATCAAAGTGCAATTCACAGAGGTAAAGTGGTTTATCATTTTCAATGTTTTCATTCAATTGACAATTCTTGAACCATTCATTCCTTTGACTGAAAGAATCGAATAATAAACGTCAATACTAAAAACTGCTTAGAAAGCAATGATAAATACATAAATACTCACGCTACTTCTTCAGGAAAACGATACAATAAAATATTTTTTCCGTCGACTTTCGTATTTTCATCTGAAAGACAGCCGTGTGCTTCACAGGCTAACATTATATTCGTAAAAAGTTACTTTTAAACAAATACAGTCTTTCATAAAAAAGTAATGTTAAACTTATAAAAGTGAAATTGCATATAAACAGATCATAACCTATAATCTGAAAGTCTCTATACAAATATTATAGCTGATACTCAAAGCCAAAATTTTATAAAAACAATAAAAGATATATGCTATATAATAAACAGAAAGTTGCATTTGAAGTGAGGTAGTGGCTATACTACACAGTGCAAGCGGTTACAGAAGGTTTAGTGAATGAAATTTAACCAATCACGATTTTCCTTTGCTGCTTGTCATCATTTATGTACATCGATTGGTTATCTTTTAGTGCAACTAGTCTCCCTAAACTTGTTTTGCTATGTTGCATTTTGGAGCAAGGTTACCTGAATCTATCTAAAAAAGGAAACCTATAAAAACAGATTGATATGTATATTTGATGTGACGTAATAGACACAAACGGTACTTATGATTCTTGCCGTATATTTCGAATCAGTATAATTATTCTAAACCGTGTTGAAAATTGGGTTTGTCATTAACCAAAAAACATGTAAGGAAAATAAGTTATTGTTATAAAAACAGAATTTTTATTAATATAACTTAACATGTACGTATATTATAAAACAAATACATTGGTTTCAACTACTTTGATGTTTACTCTTTCCTAAATTGCATTGCCTCCTGGTAATATCGAACTACTAATGGAATTAAGATTTAGATAAGGAAATTACAACATTTGTAATTTTGGAAGAAAGATCAAAAATATTTTTTATTGCAGTATCTATGTCTACTCTTTGTGTGTTTGAGGTTTGAATGTTAGATTTTTTTGATGTTATGTTTCTTCTATTTGGAGTAGATGCTGCATTATTATCTGAAACTATATATTATTAAATTTTTATGCTTAGTTACTAACACATTATTATTATTTTTTATAAATATTCTTATAAACCTTTAAAATAATTTGTTTTTGAAGCACTAGTTGAAAATAATTTAGAATATTTTGGAGATACTATCATTTTATTAGGAGACCATATTAATAAGTGTTTCTGTGGAGATTCCCAGTTTGATTTAATACTGTCTATGGTATTGTTAAATTGATATTTTGTCATTGATCTTTCATGTGAATCAAAGGAATTACATTTGTATCTTTTAAACAGATGTTTATACTTTCCTAAAACTGATTTATGAAATTATAGATCAAAAGTTTTTTATTTATGTCACAAATAGAGCCAGATTACCTTCTAATGGAGAGGCTAATATATTTGTCAACATCTTTTCATTATCTATATATGCAGTAGTAGAGACATTATGTTTTGGTGAATTTAATATTGTTTGTAGATTCATAATTTGTAAAGAATCTGTGTCTAATGTGTAGTTTATAGTTTTCTCTTGTAAATTGCATTGTATATCATATAAGTTATCAGAAACTTGTACTATAAATTTCTTATATATTTCTTCCATAAATTTAATTGTTTTACAATGTTGAGGTATTTCTAGATTCCAGTTTGTTAGGTGTGGTAACTCATCTGTTTTTAAATAATTCTCTATTTGTTTTAGTATTTGATCAAGTATTGATAATAGAACACGAAACACAAGGTATCCATTCATGTATAATCTGTTATTATCAAGCTTTAAAATAAATGTATTATGTACTATTTATATAATCTTCTAATATAGAATATATCTTAATTTTTATACTTTTTACCTGGAATTTATTAATTAAACATAGAGGAATTACTTCACTATTTATTTTTGAAAGATCTTTTCCATCAAATAATTTATAATTTACGCATAAATGTAAAATTAAATTACATAATGTATTACTGAGAGTTTTCAGCTTCTTTAGCTTTAAGTTTATTTGACTTAATGACTTAATATTTTCATCAATACTTTCTTTCCATACTGCAAATTAAAATTTAGATATATTATAATTTAATTTTAAAATTACATTATCAGTACAAAATAGTATAATATGAAGTACAAACAATTTATAATTTCTGTGTCATCAATGTCTGTTAATCGCTTTGCAATTAATGGGTTAACTGGAAGTATAGATGTTAATTTTTCTACATTGCTTTTTACTTCAAAAATAGCACTCTGTACTTTTGCTAAATTAATAGATTTATATCTAAAAAAAATTAAGTTTTTATAGAACATATAGTTTAAAATTGTATAATATTAATGAAAAGTAAAATAAAATGTTTTACTGTATGTAATGTTTAAATAATTGTAGATTCAATTGTATTTTTTCATGAAATTTACTAATAGTATGATCCCTTTTTATGTTTATAGTGGTAAAATATTTTTGTACTATGTCCTTAGTATCACCAATATTAGGAGCTTGCAATAGTTTTATTTGATCTATAATAAATTAATTTTGAATATATGATAAAATATTATGTTATTAATTTGTTTAAAAAAATAAAGATTTACATTCTCTAGTAATATAAGTTCTAAGACTAATTTCTGATATTTTCCACATGAGAATTAAAAATTTTGTTCCCCCTGCTTGTAGTAAATGAGACATAAATATTGGTGGAAAATTTACATCTGGATTTTCATTTGCCAAAATTTCTAAGTATTCTTTTATTTCCATACGGTATTGTTTTTCATCTACCTTATTCAGAATTGGCCATATAACCATTTTTTCAAAATGTTTTGCATTGTATATAGATAATAAATAATGAGAAATGTGAATAAAACCTAAAGTATTTGGTTTATCAAACATTCCCTACAAATTACATTATATTGAGAATTCCCATGGAAGATCGTAATAATTAGGTTTTATCTCGATTATAATACCTGTTTAAAGTATTTTGTACATTCATAAGGTGCAGGCACTAGTTGCATAAGTAAAAATACATTTTTATAAAATGATTTATTTATCGCCATACTTTATTATTTTTTAAATTAAACTATTCTAGAACTCACGTAGTATGTGCACGAATATCTACTGTTGTTATTATAAATTGAACTTAAGTTGTACCAAAGGACACCGGAAAAAAATATTTGTATACAAAATATGAATTTTAATATATACACGAATATATGTACATGTATAATGTAAAATATATAAAGTAAAATAATCAGAAATAGAAAATATATTGAGTGCTCGTAATAAGAAACACCTGCGCTTCTACATCCTGGTACAAATGGAATTACTTCATACGATGGACTTTTAAAAAATGAGCACTTCTGGATGTAAGGCGGCGCCACTGGATTGTACCATAGCAACTCATCTCGGTGTCGTCGTGAAAGCTTTCAACACTATGAGCCAGTGAAGTGTATCTGTCGGACAGTGGCGTGAAAATGGCGGTGTAAAATGGCAGGACGTAGATCGACGTTGACAAATGCCGATTCCTTGTCGGGATCTGGAAACACCGATCCTCTAAGAGAATTGTTCGAAGCATGTAAAACTGGAGACCTTGCGAGGGTGAAGGCGTTGGTTACACCGAAGACGGTCAATGCTCGAGACACTGCCGGACGCAAGTCCACCCCCCTGCATTTTGCAGCTGGTAAGCATAATTTTTGCATTATCTTTTCTTAGTCATTCACTTTGATAAAACTGGATAAATAATTTGAGATTTTTCTTGTCCCATTACATATGATTGAAAATACAAAATTACATTGTCATGTCTTGAACATGAAACAATTTGAACACTTAGTTTTCAATGTTGTCATTTTATGATTTGAATAATAATTTTTTAAGATCAAATGTATTTATAATGAATTCAAAATATATTTTGCAATGTAAAAGAATTAAGATAATTATTATTGATATCATTTTTTTATGAGTTTATGTGGGTAATCATTTCTTATTTTTATTACGCAGGTTATGGTAGGAGAGATGTAGTTGAATTTCTGCTTTCTGCTGGAGCATCTATTCAAGCACGTGATGATGGAGGTTTACATCCCTTGCATAACGCTTGTTCTTTTGGACATTCAGATGTTGTAAGACTTCTCTTAGAAGCAGGAGCTAATCCTAATACTAGAGACAATTGGAATTATACTCCTTTACATGAAGCTGCAATTAAAGTATGGTTTTATTTTACTTGATTCATTTATTTTCATTTAATTTCTTAAGATAATTTTATTAAATATTACATATTGATCATTTTAATAGGGAAAAATAGATGTGTGTATTGCTCTGCTACAACACGGAGCAGATGCTAATATAAGAAATACAGAAGGGAAAACAGCACTAGAACTGGCAGATCCAGCAACTAAACCAGTATTAACAGGGGAATATAAAAAGGATGAATTGTTAGAAGCAGCAAGATCTGGAAATGA